TTCAGTGAACATATCTCATTCTTCTTTCATTAAATTTATGTCTGTGTTTTCTTTAAGTAATTCGTGTGTTTGTGATCAGAACCTATTCCAAATGGAATTTTCTCCTCCTTTTCATTTTCAGATTGTACAATGTGAGTGTGGAGAAATACACTTGTTTTTCCTACATTGCTCTTGTATCCTGCAGCCGTGGCGAGCTTATTTATCAGCTCTTACAGTTTGTGTGGCGGGGGGGTCCCCATCCCCTTTCTAACTCCATCTTTGTCACAGGTGATTCTAGAGAACTTTAAATGGACTGTGACTTAAGAAAACTTTTCCCCCCCTAGGAATTGTAGCTGTGGGACACATCAATGAAGCTATTGACGAAGGGAATCCTTTGAAAACTTTAGACACTCTGCTGTTACCAACTGCTAAGATTAAAAATGTGGACCCAGACTACGCCCAGCACTACCAGGATGTTTTATATCACGCTAAATCACAGAAACTCATGGTGAGTTCCAGTAGGTTTGTTGCTTTTAAATTTATAGAGCGCCTTGTGGAGAGGGGCTGAGAGGGAAGATTTGCTATACTCATTTTCCCTAAAGCATATGAGCTGTTTGTCCCAGCAATTGCCTATGGATCAAAATGGAAATAATGGGGCTCTTTTTATCCTTGTGTCAAACACGAGCAAGAAGGTGGCCCCAGGGCTAATTACTCCTTCTACTTTAACTATAAACTCATTGGTGGTTCACTTCTTGTTCAGAGTCCAAGTCATTGCATATTTACTGAGCACATACTGTGTGCTTAGTTCCATGTGTGGCATCTGGTGGGGGCAGGAGGGGAATGATACAAGGAACATCTAACATTTGAAGTTCTGTGTCCTTATCCTTGAGACGCTTAGAAACTGAGGCAGTGGGCATTCTCGTATAGAATAGTTATGTAACTCTGAGAAAAGTATATGTCAAAACGGGTCCTGCACAGAGTGGTGCAGGGACAGTGGATTGTTGGGGGCAAGAGTCCTAAGAGGAGTGGTCATGGAGACAGAGCATGCTCCTGAAGGAGAAGGAGGAGCAGGCTTCTGGGGGCTGGAAAGCAGGAGGATGCAGGCTGGGAGCACAGGCCCAGGAGCGTGTGAGCATGCTTTGTTTTCTGCCTGGGAGGAGACTGACCTGGCTGCAGACCCCTTAAAGGGCAAAGGGTTTTTTCCACGATGCAAAGCTTATACTTACCATGGGAGAAATTCCATAGAACCTGCCCCCTCTTGGAAGGGTATCAAGAGGCGAAGTTTATGGCCTCCTCCCTGAGAGTGGGAGTGATGCTCCCAGGGACCTACCCACTCATAGCTTCCATGTCCCAAAGTGCAAACCAAATCCCAAAGGTGTGGATGTTTCCCCTGTATAGGTCTTCACAACCCAAAAACTGCCTCATCGGAAACAGGAAAAGCATCTTTGCCTAGAGCAAACATTTACTGAACACACACTATTTGCCACGCATGATGTTAAGCGCCTATAGCATACCATCTCATAGAATCATTATAATCCATAACAGCCAGATGAAGGAAATATCTTTGTTATCATCTACAGATAATGCAACTTAGAATATGTAATTTGTCCAAAGCTATCCAAAAAGTAATTTGTTCTGCAACCATGCCCTGGTCTGTCCAATTAAGAAACATATATTGTTGTGCATAAAGGCAATTGAGAGAGAATGTTTACTGAAGCATTGTAATAGCAAAAGACACAAAACAACATAAATATCCATCAGGAGTGGACCAGTTAAGTAAATTGTAGTATATCCATACAGTGAAATACTCCATGGTCATTAAAAAGAATGAGTGAATCCATACTGGACAATCTCCAGTGTGTGTATATTAAGTAAAACAAAAACAAAAACAAAAACACACACAAAAAAAATTTCCACATTCCACATGCCTCAAAATGGAACACACGCCAACTGACCAATTGTAAACATATGCTTGCATTTGCGTAAAATATTTCTAGAAGGAAACACCTTCTGGAAGGTGAAATAGAAAGCTGGTGTAGATGAGAGGTGACTTTTTTTTTTTTTTTAAGATTTTATTTTTAAGTTACCTCCACAGCCACTGTGGAACTCGAACTCACAACCTTGAGATCCAGTCACATGTTCTACTGACTAAGCCAGCCAGGTGGCCCAGGAGACTTCTTTCTTACTCTGTTGTTGTGCTGTTTGGGTTTCATTTTTTTAAAGTGCATGTATTGCAGGCTAAATGTTTCTAAACTTAAAAAACAAAACAAAAAACAGTGTAAACAACCCACAGAAGACTGTTCCCGCTGTAACTTAGTTTCTAGAATATGACCTACTGGCCCAGGCAAAGTGTTCCCTTCAAAGCAGCTAACCCTCGATGCAAGTTAGTAGAAATATTTTGTCATAATGTAGCCTTGAGCAGTATACGGAAGTGTTGCCTCTGCCAAAGAAAATTGAATGGTGAGGGAAGAAGAAATATTTTTCAGCATTTTAAATTTTGTACTATATACTACCTCTATAAAATATTTTTAATAAATAAAAATTCAAGTGCCTGTGTTTACATGTATGTGTATATATGTTATATGTGTGTGTGTATATATATACATACAGATAACCCTACACACACACAAACACACACACACATATTCTAGTCATCCCACACTACTGAACTGCCTTGTTATAGGTGAAGAAAAATATCCCCCAACGTGGGGACTTCTGAGATGTTAGACTTCTGACAGGGACTGCCTTACCCCCTGTGCTTTTAGGATGCCATCAGGTCAGTTGTCCTCATTTGACCTTCACAGCAGCTGTGGGGGTCGGCACCTCTCACCTGATGTGAGGGAATGTGAATGTTAAATAGCAGGCTAGGAAATAGGATGATGAGACTGAAACTCAAGCCTTGGGTCCCCATGTCCCAGGGAGGATGGATTGGGTCTCCACCTGCTGTTCCCACAGATGGGGCATTACATGGCACAAGGCACACTTGTCAGCATTGAAAGATAAAATTATTTGCTTTGGAGAAAGACGGTTACCATTCCAGGATTTGCTTTGTCACAAAATAACCAGAGATTTTAGTCAAATCCCTCACTCTTTGTGCTTCTGTTTCCACATGTGTCAGATGGGTGTAGTAATACCTGTCTTATAGGATTATGGTAAGGGTCAAATGACCCTTTACACATCTATGACCCATACATAACATGTCTTTGTATGTTTATACATTTCTATTTCTGTATGTCAATGTATAGTTATGTATAATTGCATGAATTATGAATATATATGTGTGTTAGAGTGTTCAGCGTTTTACTTGGAGCTTTACACCACAAGAAGTACTTAAATACTGCAGCAAATATTATTGGGGACCCTAACAGTTGCCCCACAGATAAGGGCTGAGTGATGACTGTGTCACAAGGTCCTTACTAGACACACAGATTGTTCCATCCTCAAACCACAGTTGGGATCTTCTGGGTACAGAATAGAGATAGACCTGGGTTCCTCTCTGCCCAAAGCTACATGAGGTTTGGCCTTGAGGTGAGCTGGACTCCACACACCTTTCATAGGCAGGCTGTGGAAGACCCCTCCAGAATGCTCCAATCTAATGGCTTTAGGTCAAGATGGAATGTCATAGAACCTCGCCAGAATACTCAGAAGCCTTTGCTGAGTGACCGTGCTTTGCCAGCTGTCGATCAGGCTTGCTTCCTAAGTCTAAGAGCAGTAGCTTTAGTAGTGGAAATAGAGCATTAGATATGAACCTAAGAATCTGGGTTCTAGCTCAGGCATTAAGCCACATTGGACCTGTAAAATTAGGAGCTTGAACTGTATTGGCAATAGCTAACACATTGAAAACATTACTGTTACAAGCAGTGAATCTGATTTGGTTAAATGGCTATTTTTAAACACCATTTTCTTTCTTTGCCCATTAATTTTGAAGCTTGGTTTTCTCAGCTTGTTCTTTCCCTAAAAAAAAAGTCTGATTCTGGTTTTGGGGTTTTTTGTTTGTTTGTTTGTTTGTTTGGGTTTTTTTTTGTTGTTGTTGTTGTTTTTGTTTGTTTTGTTTTTTAGGGGGTGAGGTCTCTGTGTATGTTTTTAAATCTGCTGTTTTGTTACCTAGAAATTCCAGTTTTTGAAGGAGGTAATTCTGTGTCTTGCCTTCCCAAGGTCTGGCCTTGGAAAATACTAGGAAAAAAATTACACTACTAGTATTGTCAGTATAAAGTAAAGTTTGTGTCAAAGTATACAGCTGTTAAAGATCACAACAGATAGTGTCTGCATGGAATTTGCGGCCAGCTTTATGAAAGATTGAGGACCTTGATGTAAGTTGGTGAGAATTCTTGATCCTTATTAATAGTATTTCAAGTGTAACCTTGTCTGGGCACCAAATTCCTTTTGTCTCACGGAGCATGACATGTCTCATGGCATGGAGTATGTTAGCACATACTTAGCAGACAACACATTTTCTATGTCTCTTCACTAGAGGCAGTGAATTGTGAGCTATTTTAAAAATCAAATGCTTTCCTTGAGAACTCATAAATTAGTCCCCCTAAAAAAGTTTGGTTTTGCTCCATGTATATTTGCTACATAGAAGTTGTGTGTTTTTAACAAGTAAATATTGCTGCATTTTTCACCCCTAGGTAGAACTGTATTACACGTGGTGACTTTATTTGCAGAAACCAATTCCTTTTATTGAAGTTTTTGTCATCTTAAAACTTATTATAGGTTTCTTTTTCTTTTTTTTAAGTGTTTTTTTTTTTTTATTTTAAGTAATTTCTACACACACCCATCATATCTTTACACCCGGCGTGGAACTCAAACTCACAATCCAGAGATTAAGAGCCTCTTGCTCTTCTGACTGAGCCAGCCAGGTGCCCACAGGTTTCTTTCTCTTGCTTGCTTTAGTGCTTAACTGATTTTTATTCTTCACATAATCACGTACCTACTATAAAAGATCTTCATGTGTGTGGTTTCTGTAGGTTTTTTTTTTTTTAACTAAATCCAATGAAATAGGAAAGTCTGAATAATAAAAATTCTTTGAAAATTTTTTATTGTTTTGATAGTCACTACAAAGTATATGGTCTAGGTACATTCCCATGGACTTGAACATTTATGTCAACAATCCCTCATACCCTTAACCACTAACATCCCATCTCCTATCTAATCTCTAAGCTAAGAGAAAAGTTGTTATTGACTTACAGGAATATACTGGGCATTTAGAACAAAATATTTCCCCTTTAAAAACTACATATAAGGGAAAAAATATCGGAGATGTTTTTAAACTTCTAAATTACCTCATGAGTGTGTTCTATTTTAGCTTTTTTTTTTATACGCCCAACTAAAAATGATGTCCAGTGTCATACAAGGTACATTGCCTTCTCAGTAAGAATTGAATTGCTTTGGGATTTTATTCATTCACTCAGCAGTGTGATATACAAAGCACGGATCTGGTCCCCACAGATCTTGAGAAGACTTAGATCTACAAGAAGCTAAAGAAGGGAGAGTATGAGCCCCTTCTTTACTTGGTGCTTATTTAAATGTTAATGAAGTTAATATGTGTATGTAAAGGAACTACATGTAAGTGTCAGAATAAAAATACAAGAAAGGGAGAAAAATGAACTACTAGCAGGACAATCAGAAGAATGGTCCTTTGAGATTTTAAGAAATGGAAAGATTTATGTCGAACATGTTACAAACAGCTTTATGATTGAGAGTCAAGAGCAAAGAGTGGAGAAATCACGATTACAGCAAAGCAAGAAGCTTGGCCAGTGCCTACTTGGCAGACAAGGTTTATTGGGAAGTAAAGTTGGAAGGTTAGCCCTGAATGTCAAGCTAGGGATTTACAGTTTATTCCAAAGCAGTAGACAGCCAATGGCAGTTTTTGAACTGGGGGTTTTGAGTGATGTGCTCAATCTGATATCTGAGGAAGATTACGCTGGTGGTGGCCGGTGAAATGGAGGAAGGCTGGCAGTGAAGAGAATGACAAGAAGGCAAAGGTAGGACCAGGGTAATGGACCCCAGTGATAAAAATGACTCAGAGGAAGCTGACAAGGTAGCCACCAGCATGAGAGTGGAAGGAGGCAGAAGAATTAAAAATGACATCGGATAGTGAAAACAAGAGATCTTAGCTTCTCCCTATGCTTCATCCTGTCCCACCTCTTCCGCCATGACACCTAGAGCAAAAGCCTCATAGAAGTGGGGAAAATGGAGATGTAAAAAGCTTGAAGTATGAGTCAGGCAAGTATGTCAGTTGCCTTAAAGAAAATGGTGATGTCTTTGCCCCTGCAGTGACATTCTTAAAACCCTGAGAAAGTACTAAATTTAAAAAGTGCTATTGTAATGTTTTATTCTGAAGCAGTATTTCTTAGGAGCTCAAAAATGGGCCACAGGTTAGAACACCTTGCACTAGGCATATGTTATCCCAAGAATGCATGTTTTCATGGATAGTCTTCCTCATTCCCTACGACGATTTCACCATCGTAAGGTAAACAGTGGGGTGATCTATGATTTTTGACATGAGAAAATAAAGGAGTGGATCTAGGCAACTATTGAGGCTCCCAAGGCACAAAGCTATGAGATAGACAAAATATAAGCCATCCGTGTTGTTGTAGTAGTAGTTGGCATGGTGAATAATAAGTATGACATTGCTCGGAGCAAAGCAAATGGTAAAAATCACAAGAATGAGGAGACTCGCCTTAACATAGCACAACCATCTGTCATCATATGTATTAAGCCTCCGAATGATGGCTGTGTAGCAGTAGATAACAACCACAAAGGGAATTAAGAATCCAAAGACCGCCAAGGAGACGAAGTAGTAGAGTTGGAAGGGAGATGAAGACTCACATGTGTTGTGGACATCATGGCAAGTGGTGATATCCTGCTGGACAAGGTAATACTCCTGCTTTAGGATGAGAAATGGCAGCAGGTATAAGAAAACTATTGCCCACACCAATCCACATGTCACGAAGGCATAGGTGCGCTTGGGCAGCGCTCGGTAAGTAAAAGGATGAACAATGGCTAGGTAGCGGCTGATACTAATGCAGGCAAGGAGCAGAATGGAGCAGTACATGTTGCCATAGAAGATGACTGTGGTGGCCCGGCACATGAGCTCTCCAAACACCCAGTTGTTGCCATTGAGATGGTAAGCTATCTTAAAGGGGAGTGTGACACAGAAGAGAAAGTCTGCAATGGCCAGGCTGGTGTAGAAGATGGTCATACAGATAGATCTGGTCCTGAAGAAGAGCATCCACAGGGTCACGGCATTGGCCGGCGTACCTACTGCAAACACCAGGATGTAAATGGCAGGAATCAGTTTGGTACTTAAGGAGCTGCCCAGGTACCCCACGGTAGCATTATTCACACGAAGATTGGGCATGCTTTCTTCAGGGCATTTAATTTTTACAGGTGTGGTAGTTCCTGTCCAGCCTTCTATGGCAGAAAGGGGGAAGTCTTCAAAAGAATTGAAGGGGTCCCCACGGAAGGTCTTAATAGGTAAGGTTGGTTTTGCCAAGATGCGTACATCATTCTCCGCGCCTGTAATTGAGAAGAAGTATTAACATGGAGCATTGCCAAGTCCATGGCTATGGTTCAGGAGACAATAAAACTAAAAGCTTTAGGCTACATAATTTCTGTAGTTGTAGAATTGAGGATCATTTTTATTTTAAAAAATCAGGTAATTGACAGGAATGCATTTGGTACATATCCTATGTGCCAGCACTATGCTCGCCCATGCAGGGACAAAAATGAGATGGCAACTGCTTGCATGTGGGAAGTTTATAATACTGCTGGAGAAAACAGTAATAGCACATCAGACGTCTACAGGCCAATATCAGGTTGACTATAAATCGTATAGACATTCAGACAGTAGTTAACAGATTTAAATGTTTGAGTAGAGTGTCAGGAAAAAGATGAACATGAGCAAAGATGAGCAAGGGTCATAAAGAGATGGAAATGAATAGATGAGTAAGAATCTGGTAGATGAAATATGGACAGAGGCATCATGTGGGAGAGTATGGGCTATGGGACCATCAGATGAGTTAATTCAGCAAATGTTTATTGCATACTTAAATGCCAGAAATAGAGTTTTAAATAAACTCTAGGTCTTCAACTGTTAGACTAGTAGAGAAGATCCACAAAAATGTGTCGTCTTAGGCTCACAAGGTCTGAAGGATGAAAGAGTAGGTTCCAGCCAAATCTCTGAAGGGCCTCTTATCTGTACTAAGAAATGACATGACCATTCTTAGATGCTGGGGTCATGCACACACAAAACTATGGACAGAGACATGGCCATTGTGGTAGACAGCATGATGGGCCCCCAAGAGTCCACCTGCTAATGCCGGGAACCTTTGAATATGTTATTTTATATGGCAAAAGGACTTAGCAGATATGATTTAGGGTCTTCAGATGGCATGAGTGTCCTGGATTGGCTGAGCAGGCCAAATGTAATCCCAAGACTCCTTATAAGAGGGAGGCAAGAGAGTCAATGTCAGATATTTAAAGATGCTGTGGCTTTGAGGATGAAAGGGAGAGCCATAAACCAAGGAATGCAAGTGACGTCTAGAAGCTGAAAAAAAAGCAAGACAATAGGTTCTCCCCTAGAGCCTCCAGAATGAACACAGCCTGGCTGACACCTTGACTTCAGGACTTGTGACCTCCAAAAATATAATCTGGATTATTTGAAGCCGCTCTGTTTGTGGTAATTTTTACCAGCAACAATAGGAGGTTCATATAACCCTGATTTGACTTATATTTAAGATGACTTGGTGACCGTGTAGAGAATAGACTGAAAAGGTAAGAAATTAGAGGTAAGGAGGACGCATTTGGAGCCTCGTGTAGTCATTCGAACTCAAGGTGGACAGTAATGGATTAGAGCAACAGCAGTAGAAAGGGGAAGAGGAACACTTGAAACTGATGGCAGCTCTGAGGACCTGGCATCCAGTTGGCTCTGGTGGCAGTGGGGGGAGACAGGAGGCAGGCTTCTTCTCTAGATGTTAGGCGAGAAGATGGGACAAAGGGCAAGAGTAGAGGAAACAAAGGAAGAAAAGATGGAAATAGAGAATACAGTGAATGATCTCATGTCACTGTAGAGTGACAAATGGTAATCACACCACACAATGTGTAGAATTGTTGAATCACTCTGTTGTGCCCTTGAAGCTAATGACACGCTGTATGTCAACTATACTTCAATTTAAAAAACTATGAAAATTGGAACAAAAAGGAGCAGAGACATAACCACGTACTGTAAATGTTGGGCATTGTTTGGCAGGCTAATTTTAATAATCCTAATTCATGCAAGAGCAATTTCAAAAATATAATAGACCTTAATACTCAAACCTATTTCTCATTATGTAATTTTCCCAAAAATTACTCCTTGAGATGTACAGGAAGTAGATCCTGTAAAATGTCTAAGATGAACTTTCATGGTGATTTCAGACCTCATATTAATTTAAAATACCATTGTTCTGCCAATTACATCTTTTCCCATGACCTCTGAATTCCTACCTGTTGAATACTTGGACTTAGTGATTAGTAACCTGGTTCTCATTCAAAGCCAGTTTCCCTTCCTCTTGGCCCCTCTAGCCGTTGGCCCCCAGGTGAAACTGAAGGCTTCCTCATAACCTTGAGATTGCACAAACTGAATTCAGTGTGTAAAACAGAAAGTGTTGCCTGAACAAGTAGGGACAGAAAGGTGTTCATGTGTCATTTACGGGAGGATAGATTAATGAAAAAGAAAGAAGCACCTGGGAAGAGTTCTTGTGTGTCTGTGTTGAGATGTGAACTCTGAAGGTGTGTTGTGTAATGTTTAAGTTCAGCCGCACAAATCCTCCTCAATTTTGCATTTTGGAAAATGCTTAAATTTGACATGACCCATAGAGAAGGGCCTTGGGAAGTAGGCACAAAGCTGGAAGACTGTGGCTGAAGAACATGGTGTACAAGATATTTCCTTTCAAGATCTGATAAGACAGCTGTGGAAGTGAAGTGTTTGTCAGTTTGCAGAAAATTCCTGTGGTTAAGCAAGACATGGTGCCTAAAAACAGGGTAAACAGTGGCTCTGTGAAGAAGTCTTGAGTCCTTTTTCCATGAGAATTCCAGATCTGGTTCAACTTGAATAAGTCTTGTATTCTTTAGAGTCTGGTATGCCTTAAGCATAGTGCTCATTGTTAAATTTTACATATTTAAAAATTTTTCATTGAATTCTTAATAGTCTTCAACTTGGCAGAATGTTTCTGAAATGTTTTTAACTTGGGGAAAGGCCTGAGAAAGGGACTGATCGAGGGCAACCAGATTTCAGCCTCTAAGCAATCGGTTCTTCATGCACGTTTCTCCCCCACCCCATGGGAGAAGGGAAGTGCACTGCCTTTTCCTTTGTCACCTTTAAATGTCCCCTGTTTGCCTCTATGAAACCCCACCAACCAGCATCTTGAAGGAGCCCCCTTCACAAACCGCTTTTCTTTTTGCTTTTCTGCTGTATTTGCCTTCTTCCACACCCAGAAAGAAGAGTCACTTGCTCTTTTCCTGAATCTACAGATGTGCTATTGCCCTGAGTGGGTTCTCTTGGGACTCTCCTACAATCACCTTGGCGATTGAAGCAACATTCCTTTATGGAGGCTTGGTTTTGTTGTATTTCTATTTATTCTACTTCATCGCTGTCCCTCACCCCAGCTCTCCTGCTCCTAACAATGTTGGCAGGAGAATGCGTAGCGGTAAGAAAAAAAAGTTGGAGATCCAGACCTATTGCAAACTGGTTTATTTTGGAGTAAGCAGGAGATGACAGCCTAACATTGTGTTGAGTGAAATAGGAAACACATAAAGAGTTGAATAATAGTATCTGGGAGATCTCATTTCTAAAACTAAAAAATCTTGTGAAAGTAGGGAAAACTCCATGATACAAGAGAAAGTAAAAAAAAAAAAAAAAAAGTATTTGATTAAGAAACACTAACTTGTTAGTACTACTTATTGAAAGACCACTCATTCATTCTAGGAATATTCTTGTTTCCCCCATTTGTGCTTTAAGAGAATGTATAAACATGGGATTTTTAAAATTTCTTGAAAATGTGCTATCTTTGCTGATTCGGAGGAAATTCTTACAAAATCAGAATATTCTCGCAAAGAAAATTTGATTCTTAATTCTAGAAATCTAAAATCTTGACCACGCCACAAATATTTAAATCGAAGCAGAGAACATTAATTAGTCTTTGGCAAGGTTTAAAATGAGTGAACAGACCCCAGCTACTCACTGCCATGATGCTACCTTTAGTGATAAACAATTAAACTCTGCCTTTTGGGTTGCAGATTATGGGAAATGCAAAGAAAATTGGATGTAGTTCACTCTTGCTACACAAACCAGCACCCCCAATATGCCCCGTAAGAAAAGAGCTTACCGCTTTGACAAAAAGTGGGCGACAGGAGTATTACTCCAGCAGCAGCAAAGATGAGGGCTTTCATCGTGGTGACCTGAGTCCTGTTTCCCAGCTGTTATTAAATGTATAGAACTAGGGAGCACGGTTCCACCTCAGTCTCATGTGTTAACAGCAAATGGAAGCCTTGGTCTCTGCTTAAGAGTGTGCTGTCCTGGGCTCCGCAGACTGGGAAACTTGCCCAGGTCCTCTGGAGGGAAAGGGTGTGACGGTACTCATGTTACAGTGCGCATGACTCAGGCTGAGCTTTGAGCACATTACTTTGTCCCCAGAGAAAATCATTTAACTCTTACCCACCCCTAATATAACAATCCATTCTGAGTAGATAATGTAATTCCCAACCAGTGTACTTCTGCGCATGGAAAGAATGTAGGTAACATACAGCCCTTTCCAGAAGTAAATTGAGAGTAGATGTCGAGTAGCAGTCGGTTTTGACTCTGTCACATATCTCAGTTTTATCCATTTAAAAAACACAGTCCCACAGTGTCATTTCCACAGTAACTGAGCTGTCAGAATTTATCCTTTCCTTATCCTCCCAGCTCTTTCAAATCTTAATTCTTAAACTCTTTACATAATTATAAATGAAATGAATCATGGAAAGCAAGCATTTCTTAGGAATTTAAATGTAAGAGCTTGATTACTTTGAAAATTCTCCATCAGTGTCGCATTGGTCTGAATTTGTCATCACTCCTTGGCCAGACTTGGTATCATGGTGTTTGATTTTGCCATAACTCAACATACTTGTTGGTTCAACCGAAGTGATGATACAACATTGAAACGCAGAGAACTCTCTCTATTCTGTGGTTTTTGGTGAGCAGGCCTATAATAAGCTTTTTTCTTTAATTGTGGCAAAATAGGTGTAACATACAATGGACCATCTTAATCATTAAGTGTCCAACTCAGTAATGTTTAAATATGATCACATTGTTGCACAACATATAAGCCTTTGTGAGTAGTTATTTCCCAGAGGATATGATTTAATGTGCAGTTAAAAAAAAAAAAAAGCATTGTCGATGATTTTTCTGTAATTAACACAACTTAAATGTAAACGCCAAGCCAAAAAATCCAACTGCATGTTGCATATAGAATGAGGCAAGAATCAGAAAATGCAGGTTTCACTTAAGACTTACAGGCTGAGGGATAAGCCAGGAAGGAATTGATCTGTGTAAACTTTGCACACTTGATTAAATTATGTCACCGGAATTTTACAATCAAAAGTCAATGTCTGGGGTGCCTGGGTGGCTCAGTGGGTTAAAGCCTCTGCCTTCAGCTCAGGTCATGATCAGGTCCTGGGATCCTGGGATCGAGTTCCGCATCGCATCGGGCTCTCTGCTCAGCAGGGAGCCTGCTTCCCCCTCTCTCTCTGCCTGCTTCTCTGCCTACTTGTGATCTCTGTCTGTCAAATAAATAAATAAAATCTTTAAAAAAAAACAAAAAAGTCAATGTCTGGGGGCGCCTGGGTGGCTCAGTGGGTTAAGCCTCTGCCTTTGGCCCAGGTCATGATCCCAAGGTCCTGGGATCGAGCCCCACGTTGGGCTCTCTGCTCAGCAGGGAGCCTGCTTCTCCCTCTCCCTCTGCCTGCCTCTCTGCCTGCTTGTGATCTCTTTCTCTGTCAAATAAATAAATAAAATCTTAAAAAAAAAAAAAAAAAGTAAATGGTACTTCAACTACATAATATATGATAACAGAAGCTGAGACTTGAAAGCTGTTTTATTGTAGCAGTAAAAACCAAAATGCCACAAAATAGTGAAAGGGGTACTTCTTTGTTTAATTAAAATTGTCTAGAATTCATCTAAATTCAGGAATTGATGTCTTGATTTACAGATGACCCAGCTTCTCGTAACTTAATCCATTTGTAACTTATGTTGAAGCTCTTTAGCTAGAGGTAGGGTCCTTACCATCCTATAAATATAGTTCCAGACTTCTAGTGGGCAATTTAAAAGGAGACCTTAAACTGGTGGGATTCAGTTTTTACTCCTGGTTTTGTATTTAACCCTAGCATCCTTTAGTGTAACGAGTCATGGTGTGTCTGATAAAACAGATACTTTAAGCTTTGAAGTGGGATTGTTAACTTCCTTCTCATCTGGCAAAGTTTGTATGGTGTATCTTCTACAGCGATAAGTTATGAAGGAATTTGGTAAATGCTCTTCAAAAAAATGGAAACAGACATAAATGAACTCGCATGGAACATAGTTTTTAGGCTGTACTTGGGAAGAGTGTTTGGGTTTTCTTTGACTTTGGAAACAGAAAGAAAACAGCTCCTACTCCCCGGTCTCTTCATTCTTCCTATAGTCTTCAATTTCCTGTCTTGCTTTCTGTTTGAATCCTTCCCGTCCATTCTCTTAAGAAATGGAGACTCTTGCTAACAGGTGACAGTTTACATGTGACAGAGCTAGCTAGCTAGACATGATTGCAGAAGCAGGTGCCAGGCCTGGTCTCCATTAGCCCAGATGTTACAGGCTAAAATAAGAGATTCTTTGTCTCGGGGCGGCTGGGTGGCTAAGTGGGTTAAGCTGCTGCCTTCGGCTCAGGTCATGATCTCAGGGTCCTGGGATCGAGCCCCGCATCGGGCTCTCTGCTCGGCAAGGAGCCTGCTTCCTCCTCTCTCTCTGCCTGCCTCTCTGCCTGCTTGTGATCTCTGTCTGTCAAATAAATAAATTAAAAAAAAAAATTATAAAAAAAAAAAAGATTCTTTGTCTCATTTTCATAATGCTTTCCACAAACATTATCTCAGGTTAGTTTCTGAGGGAGATAGTATTGAAGCCTGCCAGAAGAGCTGGTGAATGTTATTTCTCCTTCTACAACCCACCTATCCATCAGGAGTCCAAAATGCTGGAGCTGGTTCTCCATAGCGCTGATGAACTACTTTCTGTTCATCACAGCCTTAGTATTTCCTTAGTATTTCCTTGTAATCTTGGGCAAGTTTATTATATCCCTGATCACATTGTATAATTATTTTTAGATAAATTTATCTTTTCTACTAAATTGTTAGGTCCTTGAGGGTTCTTTGAGGGTTCTTTGCCTTATTTTTGTCTCTGTGTCTGATAAATGGTGTTGTATTTCCCTGAAATTTAAAATACCCTATGGTACCCAGGGTCACCTTGGGTACCACAGTTAGTGATTAAGAGAGAGGATGCAGAGAAGGCTTTTGTGGAGGAGGTGGCATTTGAATTAAGGCCTGAATGGTCAGAAAGCATCAACAACCCACACAGCCAGGATGCCTGGCTCTGAAGGAGGCTGGTGTGCAGGTCTGGGCCAGGCAATAGAGGACTGGGAGTGAAGCCAGAGGGGTCGGAGGGGCTAGATTGTTAGATCCCCACAGTCCCCGGGAAGCGACTTTTGTTTTTTCCTCCATGCAAGGGAAAAACCTGTGGAGGAGTTTAAGCAGAGGGATCGTCCAGTGAGACGTCCATTTTGAAGACAATATCTGCTTCTCTGTGGAGGACCACTGTGGTAGAGGGCAATCTTGGAAGCCAGAAAAACAGATAGACCAGGGGCGCCTGGGTGGCTTAGTGGGTTAAGCCTCTGCCTTCGGCTCAGGTCATGATCTCAGGGTCCTGGGATTGAGCCCCACATTGGGCTCTCTGCTCAGCAGGGAGCCTGCTTCCCCCTTTCTCTCTGCCTGCTGCTCTGCCTACTTGTGATCTCTCTCTGTCAATAATAAAATCTTAAATAAAATATTATATAAAATAAATAAAATCTTAAAAAAAAAAAAAAAAACAGACCAATGCACCCATCCAGGTGGGAGATGATAGTAGGCTGGACTGAAGGGGTGACAGTAGAGAAGGAAGAAGAGGTTGGATTTGGGGGTTATTTCGTTAAAAATTTGTACAGTGTACAGCAGTGCTTGGTAGATGCTGGCTAAGACTTTTTAGAAACTGTAAAAATGGGCTCCTGAAAAGCAGTTCTAGATTCTGTTTCATCATGATTCACTGTTCTTTCTTTTATTCTCTGACAATATTCCCAGGACTCTGAGAGTGTTTCCAAAGTTCTTTGGCTGGATGAAATACAGCATGCAGTCAATGAGGCCAACATGGACAAGGACAAAACAAAACAATGTAAGCCCTCATCTCCTTTTGCCGGCCCCTTGTGCCTTGCTGGTTAAACCACTGAGTTGTTTTTTATTCAAGTAATTTTTAAAATTATATTGTTTTAATATCTGAAAAGATTTGGATCCTTAGCAATTTCAGTGCTTGCGTGTATATAGAAAAATAAGATTCACTGGTGGTGGCACTATTTTCAGTGATTGGGTGCTAACTCTAGCGAAATCTGAGGATGTTGCTGAACAAAATCTAGAAAGCAAAAAATGGTTTCTAAACTCTCAAATTTATAGTGTGATCAAGCCCCTTTTTTATCTTGATCCTTAGGAAGCTAGCCCCATCTGCTTAGTAAATGTCTCTCTTCCCTTCCATGCTTTCCATCGTATTAGTCAGGATTTTCCAGAGAAACAGAACTACATATATATTTTCATCTGGAAAAAAAAATAGAGCTACATATATAGTCCTGTATCTGTGTGTATCTGTGTATGTGTAGATAAATAGTTGTTCCTCTGGAAAGTATGTAGTATGTATATATACACATAGAGAAAGAAAGAGGAAGAGGGAGATTTATTTTAAGGAATTGGTTCGTGCTGTTGTAGGGAGCCTGGCAAGTCCAAAATCTGTGGCAGGCCCCAGAGGCCAGATGGCAGAATTTAATCACCAAAGGCAAGTGGGTGTGGTTGCTGTAATGGACAGCAGAGCCAAAGCCGTCATCAGAATCATCCCACTCATAGAGACCAGTCGAATTGGCTGATTGACCACGGTGTTCCTAGAAATGAAACAGACTGTCTCCTAAATTCATACTTGGTTTGTACAAGTGGAAGAAGAGTTCTAGGTCAAATGAACAGAAGTGTACCTTGAATAACAAGAGCAGGGTGTCATGGCCGCTCCATCAGTCCCATACCTAATCATTTACAGACCAAGAACCCCTTGAATGAAGGGGAGACCAGGTCCTCTTGAGAACGAACTGCTACACTATCAAAATTTTACACAGTTCGTCTTTCTTCCAGGCTTCCCCTAAAGAGGTCTTCAATCTTTGACTGTGGTGGCTGGCCAAGGGGAAAGCACACCATTAGACTTTTCAGGGATTACAGGACACTGGCTCTGAATGGACACTAATACCAGGAAACCCAAAACATCCCTGTGACCCACCAGTCAGAGTAGGGGCTCACGGAGGTCAAGTGATCAG